CATGAAAACATGCTCAAAACCCTTCCGTGTGTCCCTGCTGGCACAAACAGAGCTAATAATGAGAGATTGCTGCTAAGAAATAGCCAAGAAATAGCCGTCTCTGGCACACTTCGCTAAGTAAGACCCAGCCTCCTCCGCAGGGGTCAAACTCTACTGGCAGAGAAGCGACACGTAGATTCCAGCACCAGGAAAGCAGGTCCCTGCTGAGAGAACACTGCAGAACAAGGGAGGGGCTCTTCTCCACCACACCCCCGAAGACATCGTGAATGAGCTCTTGTGGCAGGAGGTGCCTTCAGAGGCCAGGAACACATCAGATAAGAAATGGCTGCTGGACCTGAATGTCGGGGGATGAATTCCGCTGAGCCACAGATCAGCCATGCGCCTTCTCTTTCCCGTTTGTGTCCCTGACTTGGCTGTAGAATGGACAGGGCGCTACTGGGGCTTCTTTCATAGGATTCTTTGTGAGCATTAAATGACGTGTGTGTCCCAAGGCCCTTAGCCCAGTGCTTGGCATATACAAGTGCTCGACACAAAGTAGGTTACCAGCAGTTCTGCACAGGGATGCCATGCGACCCGTTAATCCTTCTCACGTTTCAACTGCCTCCCATGAACAAAATGCACACATTCACAAGTATCCACGAAGCAACCAGTCAGTGCCAGACTCCAGCAAAGATACAAACACGTGATTCGCCTCCTTTGCTTCAAGTGACCTGCCTGTTTCACCCTCACTCAAGTCAGGGAGACTGACTCCAACTGAAAATATTGAAAACAATCTGTCCGTGGTCACTGCCATCAAAACCTTCCTATCACAAGCATCTGCTTACTTTTCTCTATGTCACTAACTGCTAGACGGAAATTCTTACGTATTGATGTGCTTATCAGAGTGTTGTCTGTCTCTTCCCACTTGTATGTCAGCTTCATGACTGCAGAGCTTTCGTTCGTTGTTGTTTTCTTCTGTCTGCTGGGCCCTCAGCGTCTAGAACAGTGCTGGGCACGTGGTGGGTTCTCAATAAGTACCACAGCAATTAATTGAATCAGAAAAGGGTGACATCCTGAACAGTTCCAGGCAACCCGTGAGAGGATCTGGTTTTAAGGCAGGTCACACCAAATCTGAATGTTTTGCTTTCCTACGCGCATCCGTCTAAACAGTATTTGGCCTCATTCATGATAATGCTACAGCTGACTGTAAACGTAGGAGTTGTCGGTCGGAAGACAGTAGATCCCGGCTCAACTCAGCTTCTTCCTGGCTTTACAACCTGTCCTCAGGAGTCTGACAACAGCAACAACCCGTAAGTAAAATCGGCCCATAAATTGGGTTTTCTTGCATGTCAGTGACTCAGCCTCCCTTGTGCCTGTGAGCTGCATCGTGGAGTGAAATGTTACTCTTTCAATTACAAAAGCTGCACTGGAAATCGGTATCAGACTGGCGGTCAGAAAAACATTTCTGTAAGAGTAGAGTGACAAGGCTTTAGATGGCATGTACCAAGAAGTATATTATTCATTATGATATAATGGATGGGGAAAATTCCCATCCAAGGCAATTTTGGTGTTCTCATGGGATGGGAGTTTTCCCAATCCATATCTCTGTTTTTCAAAACTCGGTGAGGGTATGGATTGCTTTTATTTGTCACAGAATGTCAATGTCAGCTCTCTGTTGTCTTAGCTTGGTCGGCTGTAGCAAAATGCCACGGACATTTATATCACACAGTTCTGGAGGCGGGCAGGCCAATAATCAGGTGCTGACTGATTCGGTTCTGGGCGAGGGCCCCCTTTCTGGCTGGAAGATGGTCACCCCCTGGCTGTTTCCTCCCGTGGAGGAGTGAGAGCAAATGCTGGCTCCACTTCTTCTTCTTCTAAGGATACTAATCCCATTATGGGGCTCCACTCTCATGACCCCCTCTAAGCCTATAGCCTCTCAAAGGCCCCACCTCCATATACGATCATATTGGGGATTAGGGCTTCAACAAATGAGTTTAAGGGAACACAGATGTCCAGTCCCCCTAACCACTGTGAGGCATGTTCTTTATGCTGTCCAAATACCTTGCACCTTTTGTTTCCTTTTTAGTTGTTGTTGAGATGGAGCCTCCCTCTGTCGCCTAGGCTGGATTGCAGTGGCGCCATCCTGGCTCACTGCAACCTCCGCCTCCTGGGTTCAAGCAAGTCTCCTGCCTCAGCCTCCCCGGGTGGCTGGGACTACAGGCGCACGCCACCAGGTCCAGCTAATTTTTTCTTTCTGTTTCTAGTAGAGACAAGGTTTCACCATGTTGGCCAGGCTGGTCTCCAACTCTTGACCTCAGGTGGTCTGCCTGCCTTGGCCTCTCAAAGTGCTGAGATTATGGGCGTGAGCCACCGCGTCCGGCCACCTTTAGTCTCCATTCAATAACACTTCAAAGATAAGATTATGCTTTCCACCCTTTGTATATACAGTAGTCCTTCAACTACCCAGAGGATCTGGGGAATGAAGTTTCTAGTCCACATCATTTAGGGTTAACTGGGACAATGCTCTCAGGAAGCGAAACCGCTGTAGGATGAGGTTGCCCCAGCAGGGTGAACTCTCTTCCTCCCCCTTATGAAACCAACATGAGTGCTAACTGATCGGAGTCCTCAGTTGTGGAAGTTTAGACCAATAGCCCTTAACCAGCCCCAACACTTCCCTCTTCTGGCCAGGCCGGCAGCTCTGGAAAGAAACTCACGAAGCACTCGACCCAGCCTGTCTTGGGCGACTATTACAATGAAGTGGCAGAGAAAAGTTAGTTCTGTGAGGAGTTCCAAAGGCAACAGAGAACCTTTTTCTCTAGCTCTCCCTTCCCTGGAGAGCAGGGCACCCAAGCTTAGGAAGGCAGACAGGGAGCCCGCCAAACAAATGGTTCCAAGGAGGCCTCCTGCAAGCCCGGGTCCGTGAGAAGAGGGAGTTAGAGTACAGATGGGAGGCTGCCCACAGTGGGAGAGCACATACGGCAGGATTGTGCAAATAAGTAAATACAGAGAGGATAATGGAAGGTAGGGTTCTCCAAAGCTGAGAAAGAAACAACACACGTGGAAAGGTGGAAACAGAGGAAAACATAGACTAAACTCCATATTCCTGGGCTGGTACTGGAGGTATACGTGCAACCTCAAGTTTACCAATAGATATAAGAGCTTCAATTCGAAACACTGTATTCTCCTCCAACACCGAGGGAACAGAGATCCTTGTACATACGGCTGATTAGGTAGAACTTGGAATTTTGACAAAACAGAGAACCGCACACTAAGCATAACGAAGAGGAGTCGGTTACATTCACGGAGCATATCCCTTTGGCAGCTGTACAGTTAAAGCTTTATGCAACCCACTAGACGAGTGAAATGACGACCAGAACCCATGAAAGCTATGAGTGGTTAGAGGATGAAGCCACGGTCACAATGAGAGACCTCAGGGTGCCTCTTTTATTAACAGTAGGCATAATCACGGTGGCAGGAAGACTAGGACCAATATATCGGGCCCTGATTAGGCTCCGGGTACCTAAATAGAACTTTCCGTTTGGAGAACCATTGCAGGCATCAGGCCAGAAGTGGCACGAGGGCCATAGTTGGCCAAACCCAGGTAAAAATCATGATCTTATTTCATTTTCTTCATAGCATGTATCCCTGAAAGAGCTGAGAGGCATCTGATATCAGCACATCTGCAACGCTTTCACAGCGTGCCAGCTGGAAGCTCCATGGCAGAACACTGGAACCCCAGAAGCTCGTGGTGACAGGTCCCTGTATTTTCCAGCTAATTCTTTCCCATGGGGAAAAAGCACATTTCCGACCGAGACCACTATTCCCGGCTCCCTGAGTCCTTCTGTCCTTGTGCCGTGAGGTCACCCATTTAAGAGACACAGGTGCGACGAGGGTGAGGTGATCGAGGACCATTCATTCTGCATTGTGGGAAAGAGCCTTGGAGTTAATAAATCCCTGAGGCAAAATATTCAAAGTGTACTGCCACTTGGTCTGCCTTACGAAAGCAAAGTGGTTCTGGGCTTTGCTATTTGAAAGAAGATAAAGGAAATTTATCTAATCCCCGCCCCCCTACCCTGCTGAACCACTGCCTCCCAGGTGATCCTCAGTCCAGTGAGGAAGTTTGCGAAACAGCAGCTGTGACTGAATCACCACCTGACTGGGCTTATCATAACGCCCTATAACTGCCAAAGAAGATTCTTCCACATCAGCCATACTGGAGAATTAAATGGCGAGGTAGTGGAAGTCATGGCCTCTCAAGTCCAACGTGGGCTGCTCTGTAATTCCACGGGGTCTGGGGCTGCTTTTGAATGACGACATTCACAGGGACCTGGTGCTGCCACAGCCCCCGCTTGCCCCTTTCTATCATAGGAGCTCTGCTGCATGGGTCGGGAAGCTGAGGACGGTGGGGGATGTGGGGGCATTAAAAGAACACGAGTTCCATTAGGGCCTGGAATTTTGTCCTTTGGGCTAAGGCTATAACTGTAGGGCCTCAACAGTGCCTGGCACGTCAAAGAGAATCAGTAGGATTTCGTGGAGTGAACCAATGAGTGAAAATGGGAACTCCACAAGATCTTCACTCTTCTTATCAAGCAGGAAACAAACCCCTGGATGATTGGGAGGTCTCACAGATCTGTAATGGAAAGTGAAAACACAACTCTGTTTATTCAAGGACCGGGGGTAATGGTGGAATTACGAATCACAGGACTCGGTGCAAGTTCACAGCCACATTCGAGCTATGCCCAAAGATCTGAATGTCTCCCTAGGTCACAGCTACCTGGCTAAATGTTCTGCTAGACGAAAGCAAGAAGTTTCATGGGGTGTACTTGTGGGATTTTATATAACCCTTCCCAGTGGGTAAGCAGCTTGTCTGCCCTTCAAGGGGCTCTGTGTTTGTATCTTTCTTCATGTCTGCGCATGAGCTGCACCCCTGCGACAAAGTGGCTCGCGGAGGCTCCTGTACGGCAGAGTCGGCTTTTCATGGTTGTCGGTGTTGTTAAAAAAAAAATCAACAGAGGACTTACTGCGTTGCTCAACAGTTTTATTCCTAAAGAACCAGTGATGAACGAACCACAGCTAAACATCGTTGTCGGTCCAATCATTCAGTCACTGAACTTAATAACATTTTATCTGCACCTCGAGTCTGCCAAGCACTCTTCTCAGTGCTTTGTGATGCCTTTAAAAAAAAAAAAAAAATCAAAAACCAAAAACCAAACCAAACAAAAATAAATAAATAAATAGATAGATAGATGGATAGATAGACAAATAAATAAATGACAGCCAAAAAAAAGCAGACCAAAAAGCATCCTGCCATTGTGGAGTTTACATTCTAGCGTGGGGAAGAAGGAACATAGGGAACAATAAACATCGCAAACGAAGTAGGTGATAGAAGACGAAAGAGGCTATGGCACGATACAGGTTAAACAGACAGCATAGGGGTGACTCAAAACTGAAGTCAAATTGTAACTTTAAATCATGCCTTTAACACGCTGTCCCTGCTGCCTTTTCAGTTAAAGGATTTGACTCTGCCATTTCCTTTCAAGCCGTCCCGGGCCTCCGTCATCAGGGGATCCGGGGCTGGTAATAGAAAACACGGAATTCAAATTTAGAGGGAGTGTTCATGTTAATTAAGAACTCCTTTCCTCCAGTGACTAGCAAGCTAATTTAGCATGCTTCTTAATTGATAAGGCACTTCCCTGAGCTGGGTTCGTGGTCCCATTGAACTAGCCAGTATCTCAACTAGATTTGCCAGAAAAGTCATCTGTAAAATCCTGTTTAGGCTTACTAAACTAAACTTTTCGGTTAAACCAGCACCTTTACTGCTCATAGGAGGAAACATAAACAGAGAATAAAAATGTTTGTCATTACGATTTTTGCGCTGGAGTGATGGAAACCGCTCTCCAGATATAGCAGAAGTGACTGCTCTCCACCATGACCACGTCGACAGTATCAAATACTTGAGGCTGGTATCCAGGAGGAAGTTTCACAGAATCCAAGGTGAAAAAGATATTATTATGTATCACCCCATTTCTTGCACGGAAGCTAGTAATGCAGACCTGCGAGTATACATAACAGAAATGATTATGAAAAAGCCCGATAATCACCGTAACCAGCTGTGCACCTCCTCACTGTGGGTCCTGCATGAGTGCAGGTCACTTCGATGCAAATCGGTGATTCCCAACCTCGGCGGCCCATTGCTAACACCAGGGGTGCTTTGTAGGAATACCCATGCCCACGCTCCACCGCAGACTAATGAAATCAGGCTCTCCCGGGATGAGGCCTGGGTCTCTAACGAGAAATCCTGCTCTACATATGACCAAAATAGGTCCATTACCCTCTATTGCCCTGAATTCAGGCTCCAATACCCAAATCATTCTCAGCATTTACTGGTAAGCTCAAGTCCCACAACACACTCCATTCATTCTTTCCCTACAGTTTTCTGGCACAAAGATTCTTTTTCTTCCACCGGTTGTTGGAAGATTCTAATAACGTTTGGGTGTCAGGTAAAATGCACAATTTATAACTTAATCATGTGTTTGCTCTACATGATTTTCTGATTATTTCCTTTGGGAAGTCCTGCCTTTTCAATAAGAAAAGTGGCTCCTCTGTTGGCAAAGAATGTATTTCTTCCTATTTTCTGGAATTCCCGTTACACCCAACAGAATCCTGGGCACGAAAATTATCACCAAAGGAAGGGTTAGCAGAAACTGATGACGGGAGCAACAGGAAAGAAATTACCTCTTCCGCGTGATCCCAACGGGTGTGCTTTGCAGAGATTGCCTTGATGTTTGAGATGCCTGGCTCATCGGAATATTCAATGTCTAACCAGTCGCCCTGATAAGGCACAAAATCTAAAACAGCCACGGAGAAATGTGAGTGTCATGATCTCTTAACTAAGTCATGTTGTAGTTCACACGTTACTTTGATCGTGTAATACTTTAAGTCAGTTCTGCTAGATTTATCTAAAGTCCATTTTGCGCATGTTTAAACAGACACAATGTAAATCTCCAAGTCCGAAAAGAAGTTTATAATCCTTAGGCATTGATTCTCCTCTACCGATAAAACAAAGTCAAGTGGAGGAAAGTGTGAACCATGCACCACAGCCAATCTAAGGGTGTGGCACGGGATCTACTGCACAACTGTTGGCGTTCACATCTCCTTCGTGAGAGGCAGTCAAACGTGTAGGTAAGAGCACAGGTTTGAACCTGGCTATGTGTGTCTGAATCTTGACGCTGCCACTCACACAGTTTGCAACCTTGGCCAAGGTGCTTAATCTCTCTGTGCCTCGTTTTCTTCAACTATAAAATGAGAAGCACGATAAATAGCCTTCATGATGCAGAGTTGAATTAATTGTGAGTGAGAATTAATCGCTACGTGTGACACACACAGAATCATCGCTGGTGCATAGTAACCACGAAATAACTGTTGAATTGTAGTAGTGGTAGCAGTACCACTAAGAAATGTTGTTACTTTCAGAATGGATCAATTGCCCTGGTGCTCTGTTCAGCTGATCAACTCTTAAGTATGTGCCTTCCATGTTACAGTTAAGACCATGGAGTTTCAAACTGAAGTTTACAGTAAGTTAAAAGTGAGTCACAGGATAACAAATGTAAATGCAAGTGAGACAGTAAATTGCCACAATGACCCCAGAAAACTAGCAGTATCAACAAAGTGAAACATTTCTTCACCTTAGGACTCATACGCAAGACACAATGTTAGAAGAGAAAGATACAGTCTCTCTCTCTCTCTCTCTCTCTCTCTCTCTCTCTCTCTCTCTCTCTCTCTCTCTCTCTCTCTATACATCACCTTTGTGTGGGTTTACCGTATATCTATGTTCTGATAACTACAAAATGTATATGCCTCCAGCTCTAACCAACCTCAGGTTCAGTTATCCATATGCTTACACGCATCTAACGTGTGTAAAGCTGAGTTGTTGGTATTCTCTGTATTCATCACCTCTTGTTTGCCTCAGTCGTCTACATCACAAACTGGCAACTCCACCCTCACCACTGCTCAAACCAAAAACTTGGGAGGTGCCCTGGACTCATCTTTCTTCCACACCAAAGAGCTAATCCATTACCTCCTGCGTTCTTCTCTAACTTCAAAATATATCCAGAGTCCCCTCAATCCTCAGGTCCTCCACTTCTATACTTTCATTCACATCTCCAACATCTTTCACCAGGAACGTTACAACGTTTTCCTGACCAATTTCCTGGCTCCATCCTTCCCCTCATAGTCTCGTCTCGATAGAGTCAACATCCTAAAACAAAATTCAGGCCAGAGTCCTGTTTTGCACCCAAGAAAACAAACTAGCAAGCTGCCTGGGGAAGCAGAGCTAATCACCCCTTTTATACCCAAGCTGTACGACAGCTGCAATAGACAAAAATAGAAAAATAAAGAGTATCTTTTGGTATAAGCTAAATATTAGAACATATCTGCTGATTACAAAGAAAGTTCGAACTCCACCCCACTCCCCACCACACACACACACAAACACACACACACACACACACACACACACACACACAGAGCCACAAGGCGCTATCTCCAGTTCTACGTTTGAAGCGTTTGAAGTGTATTCTTTTAAAATTTGGTACTCTACCCTGTCACAGAAACTTCCCGAGTAACCAACCACAGAAATGATCCCTGCAAGTGTAGTCTTGCAAGGGTATTAAAAATAGTGTCTCTGTGTACTTGTAGGATTGTGTTCTTGATTAGAAATTAAATTCTTATGTGAATAAAAAAATATATCCAGACATACTGAGGGCCTTGAACAAACGAACACACAATAGACGGCAGCAGATAGTTTATAATCCTGTCTGTTTGCCCGGTATTGTACATAATTTCAATTGGAAGGGTCTACCTCTAATATTGAAGAGCCATTGACTGAAGCCAAGTACACTGTAAAAGTTGTTCTAGGACTAAAATCCTCTAAAAAATTAAGAATTGCATCATATATCTCAAAACGTAAACCATACCTTCAGAAACAATGTCTAGGGAGAAATAAATGTCGTCACTAATATAAACAGTACCCTCACTTATAGAAGTGATACATCCAACTAAAAGTTTGGTTCCTGCGTCTGAGGGTCCAGCACCGTGAGGCACAATGTCCACCTGTAAGATTTAGGAAAGAGTTACTTCAAAAATAATACAAATTTAAACAGGGGAACTTACATGATTAAAACACTGGTATCCAAAAATACTTTCGACAACCATCCTGAACAACACTGATGAGTATATTTCACGTGGTAAATGGACCATAGACTTGAGATGGTGGTAAAAATCATGTGTGTGCTTCATGAATTGTGAAATGTACCCCAAAACATTAATAGCATACCCAAGTTTAATGCCCCTGTACCATGAGAACACAAGATTAGAAACATACCATCCTTCGCCTGTAGGAATTCACAGTGAAATGGCGGTAAAGTGGAACGATATCTAGTCATAAGCAGGTTGCAGTGAAGGATGTAAAACTAGTTCCAAGATGGGTTTGTGAATTATCTAGAGGGAGAACATTTCAGACAGGGAGGAAGTAGGGACATTGCTTAGGGAAAGTCAGATGTGTGCTGGGTTGTGAAGGAAGACAGAGGTGTAACCTGGTAAATGGGTAGAGGAGCCGGGAGACAGACAGGAAAAGCGACACAAGTTAGGAGCCTAGGGAGCAAAACCTTAACTTCAAGTTCCAGGCCCAGGAGACAGAAGCACGAAATAAAGTTGGAACAATAACCTCAACTGGGAAAGGTTCAAAAATCCAAGACAAATTAGGATTTCAATTTATCTACAATAGAGAGGCATACAACCTTTTTCCTTATTGAAAGTGTATAAGGATCATTTTATAATCCTTAAAACTTAAAAATAATGCAAGTTCATTATACTAAAAGTAGAAAAAAAAACAGATAAGCAGACAGCAAAAGGCGACTACCCCACAATCCATATTCCATTACCAAGAGACTACCAGGAACTATATTTTGGGAGTAACATCGATCGTGATGTTTTTGTCTGTGCACGGATATATATATATATGTGTGTGTGTGTGTGTGTGTGTGTGTGGTGTGTATGTGTGCACATATATGTGCACACATACACACCACACACACACACACACACACACACACACACACACACACACATATATATATGCCTGTTTTAAAAGCAAATTAACATTGCATTCAGTATTAAAGGATCACACTAAATGAACACAAAAGTTTTTAAGTAACAAGGGAGGACAGAAAGAGTCATAGGGAATCCCAATTAATGGATGTGCCATAATTTCCTAACCCAATTCCATGTAATTAGACATTTCTCTTGTGTTCTAACATTTGGACTACTTGCCTGACTTAACTATAGGATAAACTCCTAGGGTTGAAATCTGTTGTTGAAAGACTTCTGATGGAAACTTGAGCCACTAAGTTGTAAATAATTTTTCATGGTTCTAAAAACAGCCTAGTTTGTTGCTATTCCCATTTCTTAACCGGTGTCTTTCCAGCTGTCAATACCAATCTGATGTTTATTTTCCCCATCTTCTGCTCACTTGCTGTCATGAAGGAATGAGGCACCAGCCTCCTGTCCACGTATCAACCACCACTTCTGTCAGTATCCAAGTGGATGATCCACAGCACCCTCGGACCTCTCTGTTCCTTGACTCTATCCACACCAACTCACGGACATGCTGCAGCTAAAGCTTTGTCCAAGTTTTATGGATTCCCAACTCTGTTTCTTATGCCTTGCAAATATCACCAACACAACAGCAGGCACAGATAGATTCAAATGTGTGCGATAATGCGTTGTGTGACAGAAGTGGCATTTCAATGCAATAGGGGCAAAGTGGATTATCCAATTAATGTGGAGGGACAACTGAGTTGCCAGTAACTCGTGAAACAAGGCGTGGAGCCTTCTCTGAGTCCCGCACCCAGAAAGCAAACGCAGGCTGACGTTTGGATGTAGATAAATGAATGGCTTTCAGAAGAAAAACTAAGCTAATACTTGTGTAAATTACGTATTACAATTAGCCTACGGATACTTCCTGAACCCAGAAGCCATATGGACAAAATGGACATATTTATAGTATGTAAAAATTAGACAGATGGAGGGGCGGGGGGAGCAAGATGGAGAAACGGGACTCTCCAGAGATCGTCCTCTTGCAGAAACATCAATGTGAAAAACTATCCTTGTATGAAAACACCTTCACTCGAGAGAAGGAAACCACGTGAGAGACCACGGTACCCAGTGATAGCATGATACTAAGAAAAGATGCATTGAAGAGGGCAGTAGGGAAAGTTTTACATTACCCCTCTCACCCCTTCCCCAACCTTCAACAGCACAGCATGGAGAGAGATACCATCCACCCGGAGAAGACAGAGAGTAGCAGGCATAGGACATCGCCTAGGAACCCAATATCGGGCCTGTCACATTCAGTATTAAAGGTCACCTGACACCACACGCCGTCAATTGGCAGATGTCCATGGCCCCTGACTCCGCGCTGGTACTTGTGGACCAAGTCTCTAGACCCACCCTGGCACCAGACAGGAAGCCACAGCCACAGCAAAACAAACTCAATACCTGGCCCACATCTCTGCCGAGTGACTCCAGTGGCCTTATGCTCAGAACGGTCTACAGCAACAGGGAGTCCTCAGTGAATAGAGGCTTGGATTCCAGTCTCGCAAGGCACCAGCCTCAACAGCTAAGGGAGTGCACGCCATTGCAGCATCTGTCACTGTGTCCCTGGGATTAGGAAGCCCCCTAGTGCTTCAATAGCTGCAGTGTTCACAAGCATAAGGACCAAAAGAGATCTATATAGAGTTTTTGGATAGGCTTAGTGCTAAAGGAGGTCCCCAAAAAGCTAGACTGCAAAGACTGAAATACATACCTCCTTCTTCAATACGCAGATATAAACACATGACCGCAAAGATCAAGAACAATCGGGAAACCATGTCATCACCAAACTGACAATACAAGGCGCCAGTAACTGACCCTAGAGAGACAGGAGTGTATGAGTTGTTTAACAAATAATTCAAAATATCTATTTTCAGCATGCTCCGTGAACCTCGAAAATAATTACCGAGAAATGATTCAGAATTTAGCAGAGTAATTTGAGAGAAAGGATCGAAAGAATTTTAAAAAGCAAACAAATTCTGAGGTTGAAAAATGCAGTGAAGGAAGTACACGATAGAGAACATCAACAGGACAATTGACTGACTGAGCAAAATAAAGAATCTTGTAAACTTGGAGACAGGTTCATTGAAAATATACAGTCAGAGGAGACAAAAGTAAAAGGAAGGACATGGAATGAAAAAAGAAACGTACTGGATTTCTGGGACAATATCCAAAGAGCAATAGTATGAGTCATTCACATTCAAGAGGAAGGAGAGACTGATAAAGAGGTAGAAAGATTATTTAAAAGGCAATAATGGAGAGCCATCCAAACCCAGAGAAAGTTACAAACATCTAGGTACCGGAAGACCAACGTTCTGCATCCAGATGCAATCCAAATAAGATTACCCCATGACATACTGGGGCCGGGTGTGGTGGCTCACGCCTGTAATCCCAGAACTTTGGGAGGCCGAGGTGAGCGGGTCACCTGAGGCCAGGGGTTCGAGACCAGCCTGACCAATATGGAGAAACCCCGTCTCTACTAAAAGTACAAAATTAGCCGGACGTGGTGGCACATGTTTGTAATCCCAGCTACTCGGGAGGCTGAGGCAGGAGACTCGCTTAAACCCGGGAGGCGGAGACTGCGGTGAGCCGAGATCGCGCCATTGCACTCCAGCCTGGGCAACAGGAGCAAAACTCCATCTTAAAACGAAACAAAACAAACAAACAAACAAAAGACCTATTGTAATCAAACTGTCAAAGACGAAAGAGAAAGAAAGAACCCCGAGAGCAGCAAGAGAAAAGGAGCGAATCACATATAAGGCAGTTCCAATATGCCTACCAGAAGGCTTCTCAGCAGAAGCGTAACAGGCCAGGAGAGAGTGGGATGACATATTCAAAGAGCCGAGGGGGGGAAAAAAAGTCTCTAACCAAGAATAATGTACCCGGAAGTGAAGGGGCGATAAAGACTTCTACAGAGAAATCACAGCTGAGAAACTTCCTCACCACCACAACTGTCTTACAAGAAATGCTAAGGAGAGTTCTTCTAGCTGACATAAGGGATGCTGATGAGTAATGCAAAAGCATCTGAAGGTGAAAAACTCACTAGTAAAAGTAACTACACAAATTCAGAATACTCTGATAAGGTAACGGTGGTGTCCAGATCACTTACATCTTTCATGTAACAGTTAAAGAACTGAACTGGTAAAAATAAAATAAGTACAATAATTTGTTAAGGGATGTAAAATATGAAAAAGTTGTAAAGTGTAAAATAGAAAACTCAAAATCCGGGGGTGGAGTTAAATGGTAGAGTGTTTGTGTTTTGTGACCAAAGTTATGCTATCAGTAAAATAAACTGTCGTGATTATGTTTTTGTAAGCCTCACGCTAACCACAAAGGAAAAAACCCTGTAATGGACACATGTAAAAAATCAAGAAAACAACACACACTAACAGAGAAAAATCTCTTATCCGTCAAGGAAGACAGTAAAAGAGGAAGAAAGGAAGAAATTACCGGCAAACTAAGTAGAAAACAATGATCTAAATGACAACATTCCCAACGAAAATATGCAGAGTAGCTAAATGGATTAAACAACAACAACAAAACTATGAGACCCACTTCTCCCTAAAAGACCTTGTAAACTGAAAGCGAAGGCATGAAAAAAGTTATTCTTCCATGTAAAGGGAAACCAAAAGAGAGCAGGAGCAGCTCAACTGATTTCAAATAAATAGACTTTAAACCACAACCTGTAAAAAGAGACCAAGAAGATCATTATATAATGATGAAGGGGTCGATTCATCAAGGGGATATAATGATTTCCATAAATATGCACCCAACATAGCAGCACCTAAGTATATGAAGCAAATATGAAGATCTAATTCTAATTAGGTCTAATCTAATTTGTAGATTTTTTAATAGGAAAGTTTGTTTATGGAAGCCCTTGTGGTATTTCCTCTGATACCATCTTTTTTCTTTGCTTTATGTCTTTCGTTCTTTTACAGCCTTATTGAGATGTAAGTCACATAATCTGGAAAATGTTATTGAATTGTACCCTTAAGAGAGTTTTGTGGTTTGCGAATTATACCTGCACGAAGCTCTTTTTAAAATGTTTACAAGGCACATGGTTTGACACAGCAATTCCATCGCTATGAATGCACACTACAGAAAATGCTTTTTGTCCCTGGTAAAGGAAGTTGCAGGATTATATAGAGTTCAATGATTGTTATTGTTACCCATATTGTTTAAAGACTAGAAGAATAGACAAGCAATTTTTATGTTTGAAAGCAGAAATCACTACAAATATCAGAACAGAAGATCCTACAGCTTCAGAGGAGTGGGGCTTAAATTGCCATCTACATCCACTCTACGGGTCACAGTAGAGATGTTGGATTAATACAAGGAAAGAAAGATGGAGAAAGAAAGCCCATTGGGACAAGACACATTTCCCAAACTCATGCACGTCTCACCTCGACTGCCTTCAATCCATAAAGTGCTGTATCTTCTTCCACAACCGCATTAACTCTCTGTCCAACTTTTAGAGGTTCATTGCCAGTCACAACATCACAACTGAAGTAGATCGACTCATCAATCACGCCATAATCACCACAGAAACTCGTGACAACTCCCTGCACAGTTTTCAACTTGGGCTGCCCTACAAGATAAAGAAACAAAGGTCACATTATTAGCCTCAAAGGCAAACACCTACTACAAGTAAGACTTATGCCCACCATCGGCATAAGCCTGGGCAGAGAAGGTTTTTAAACGTCTCTGACCTTGTTTTCATCTGCCAATCCACAACAATCACAATTTCACCTAATAGAGTTGTTGTAGGTTTTCTCTATGTTTTAAAAAAAATTTTTTTTTAATTTTTTAAAAGTTTAAAATTTTAATTAATTTTTAATTTTTTGAGCAGAGTCTGACTCTATCGTCCAGGCTGGAGTTCAGTGGCGCAATCTCGGCTCACGGCAACCTCTGCCTCCCGGGTTCAAGCGGATCTCATATCTCAGCCTCCCGAGTAGCTGGGAGTAACAGGTGCATGCTGCCGCGCCCAGCTAATTTTTGTACTTTCAGTAGAGACGGGGTTTCGCCATGTTGACCAAGCTGGTCTCGAACTCCTGGCCTCAAGTGATCCACCCGCCTGGGACTCCCGAAGAGCTGGGATTACAGGCGTGAGCCACCGCACCCGGCTTGTGAATATTAACTGACACATGCACATCAACTGTCGAGAGCTGTGAGTGCTTCGCACAAGACAGTGTAAATGTTACCTGAGAGTTATATGAGAGTCTGTAGGCTTCTGCTCCTATTATACCCCTTCATCGTTGTCACCAACAGGAGTAGCACCTCCTATAGATACTTAACCATCTCAGCAGACAAAGCACTAAAAGATATCTGGAGATTGAAGGCTAGTCCCAAACGGCATCCGAATGGTCTTCTTCTCCTTCTCCTTCTTTAATTAATTCTACACAAGCCTAGCTGATAAGCAATATTTAGGGATCTGACTTCTGCAGCCCGCCCACACAATGGGTTCTCTGCCCTCCAACGGGATCAGATAGGCATGAGGCGTCCACTTGGCTTCGAATTACACTCCCGTTTGGGATAGAAGCCTAGATTCACTCGCGGATTAGGGAGTTTCTCGCCTACTGGAAATATAAATAAGCATGCGCTACACGACCACGTGGGGGAAAAGCACAGGCGGTACAGCCCCCCAAGGTCTTCTCTGTCAACACCTTCCCGCTTTAGATGGACAGGAGAGTTTGGGGGCTGGTTCTCAGGGGCTTGTTGGGGACTCGGGACACCTCCCCATACACGCACAGAAGATGGAGTCGCCATCACTTGCTGTCCCCGCCCGAGTCACCACAGCCTTATTCCAGGGGTGAGGAGAACCCCTATTGGGAGGGTTCTGGGGTGGGAGACAGGGGGACACACAGAGGAATACCTTGTGGGAGACCCTGCTGCTGTGGACCCTGCCGCTCTGCGGGCTCTACCCTTCTCTGGAAGAGGGCCAAAACAAATCTCAGAAGCCTGAGCATCGTCCTCGTTGTCACCACCGGCCTGAGCACCACTTGTGACAGATGAAGCACGAGGCCTCCTCAGTGAGGGAAGCTCTCAGGGCACAGCGTCTCCTCAGGGACCCGCCTCCTGCTTCTCCTCCTCAGCCTCTGTGGGATGCGACCCAGCCGTTAGTGAGCCCCGCTCAGGAGAGACAGGAACGCCGCAGCCACCCAAGGAGCCAGCAAGTGCCCCTGTGGCTCCTGCCTCTGAGCAGGCGTTTGTCAGGGCCCGCCTCAACCACTCTCCAGCCAATGGGTGTGAAGTGGGTTGGCGGGCAGGTTTCCTGTGGCCACTAAGAGGTGGTGGGCGGGGACATCGTGGTTCCTCCCATCAAGCCTCACGCGCCACTAGGATGGCTTGGGGTTACAGGGCTCTTCCGTGGGATTCCCTGAGAGGATGGTGTTGAAACACCAGCTGTGCAACCAAAAATCCTGCTCTTACCCTTGTATTCCTGGTGCTTATCATAAGGACTGACCACTCAGTGGGTATCCCCTGAGTACACCCAGAACCCAAGCTCCCAAGCCGTTTTCCTCAGGCCATCCTAGTGGCGCGTGAGGCTTGATGGGAGGAACCACGATGTCCCCGCCCACCACCTCTTAGTGGCCACAGGAAACCTGCCCGCCAACCCACTTCACACCCATTGGCTGGAGAGTGGTTGAGGCGGGCCCTGACAAACGCCTGCTCAGAGGCAGGAGCCACAGGGGCACTTGCTGGCTCCTTGGGTGGCTGCGGCGTTCCTGTCTCTCCTGAGCGGGGCTCACTAACGGCTGGGTCGCATCCCACAGAGGCTGAGGAGGAGAAGCAGGAGGCGGGTCCCTGAGGAGACGCTGTGCCCTGAGAGCTTCCCTCACTGAGGAGGCCTCGTGCTTCATCTGTCACAAGTGGTGCTCAGGCCGGTGGTGACAACGAGGACGATGCTCAGGCTTCTGAGATTTGTTTTGGCCCTCTTCCAGAGAAGGGTAGAGCCCGCAGAGCGGCAGGGTCCACAGCAGCAGGGTCTCCCACAAGGTATTCCTCTGTGTGTCCCCCTGTCTCCCACCCCAGAACCCTCCCAATAGGGGTTCTCCTCACCCCTGGAATAAGGCTGTGGTGACTCGGGCGGGGACAGCAAGTGATGGCGACTCCATCTTCTGTGCGTGTATGGGGAGGTGTCCCGAGTCCCCAACAAGCCCCTGAGAACCAGCCCCCAAACTCTCCTGTCCATCTAAAGCGGGAAGGTGTTGACAGAGAAGACCTTGGGGGGCTGTACCGCCTGTGCTTTTCCCCCACGTGGTCGTGTAGCGCATGCTTATTTATATTTCCAGTAGGCGAGAAACTCCCTAATCCGCGAGTGAATCTAGGCTTCTATCCCAAACGGGAGTGTAATTCGAAGCCAAGTGGACGCCTCATGCCTATCTGATCCCGTTGGAGGGCAGAGAACCCATTGTGTGGGCGGGCTGCAGAAGTCAGATCCCTAAATATTGCTTATCAGCTAGGCTTGTGTAGAATTAATTAAAGAAGGAGAAGGAGAAGAAGACCATTCGGATGCCGTTTGGGACTAGCCTTCAATCTCCAGATATCTTTTAGTGCTTTGTCTGCTGAGATGGTTAAGTATCTATAGGAGGTGCTACTCCTGTTGGTGACAACGATGAAGGGGTATAATAGGAGCAGAAGCCTACAGACTCTCATATAACTCTCAGGTAACATTTACACTGTCTTGTGCGAAGCACTCACAGCTCTCGACAGTTGATGTGCATGTGTCAGTTAATATTCACAAGCCGGGTGCGGTGGCTCACGCCTGTAATCCCAGCTCTTCGGGAGTCCCAGGCGGGTGGATCACTTGAGGCCAGGAGTTCGAGACCAGCTTGGTCAACATGGCGAAACCCCGTCTCTACTGAAAGTACAAAATT